GCAGGCTAGAAAATCCATCGAACGAAGCAGATAAAAGAAGAGAGAACAAGGGGCAACCAGTGGGAAAGAAATAGATGGAAGAAAGACCATAGGAGGAGCGAGACAGACGAAAAGCTAGAAAATCCATCGAACGAAGCAGATAGACGGAAAGACTGGGAGGGGATGAGTGGAAAAGAACGAAAAAGAAATCGAGAGATGAGCGTCGAAGAAAGAGAGAGTGAGATGAACGGATAAGCGTGGATCAGAGAGAAGAAGCGAGAATATCACTCTCGCCGAGGGACAAGAAGAGGTCGGGACAGAGGGAACGAAGCGACCCCGCTGTTTGCCTTTTATTAAACTCTTGTTAAACGCCGCCTTTCTTCGCACACACAATTGAATCGGCAAAACAGCGAAGATAATGCCCCTACCGAGCTGTACACGAACGAGGGCCCGCCGCACTGTGCCGGCCGGCAGCCTGGATTCCAGCGCGACGGAAGACTTACCGCAAACACCAGTTCCTTGTACACCCTGAAATGGACACCGTGTAATCCGGCCCTTTATACGGCACTGCCGGCATTGACCGGCTCTTCCAAGCATGCACATCGAACCACTCTCGGTAATAAATGCCTCGGTGTGTCCATCCGTTCTTCCTGAAATACCCCCGAACGACCGTGAAAATCGCGCCCTCTCCCCCGTTTCCCTCTGCCGGTGGCACGAATGAAAATATTTGGATATTTCGGACGATATTCAGCGTCGGCTGAGTTTCGAGCCGTGCCATTGCCGGGGCGGCATTCAAGGAAGCTGCCAGGAATGGAACGTTTCTTCTCTGGCACGACTTCATTTTGGGGATGCTCTTAGAAGAGGTTAGTTTGCACAATGGACAATGACGAATTAATCTGTTGTACAATTTATTTTAGTATTAGTGATTGGCGGAACGAAGGGAAACTTTGTGCTTATTGAGTTGTTTACTTTGAAACTTGACTGTAGTGAAATGGTCTTTCACTTGATCGCGCAATGTACCATTGATGTGGCAAGGGGTTGATTATGGGTTAATATATTGCGAATTAAACGATTCTTTAATGTATCGGCATTGTTGACAAGTTTCTCGACAGCTTTTTAATAAGATCGTTGGCAAGATCTTTTTTACTTCTAATTGGTTAATAGTTAAGAATTACTATCGTTATAAATATTTTATTAGAAGGTTATATATTTTAAATCTAGACACAGTTTGAAGAAGGCGATTAATTATAAATTTCTAAGCACCGGATCAATTTCGTTACACCGATTACGTACGGTTAAAGGATATCGTCGTTTTGTTTTCCAACGATCCCCCTCTTTACGAAATTCTTCCCCAATACGAATGGTACTATAATTGTACTAAAAATAATGGTATCAGGATCGCGTTGAATTGTGTTGCGCGCATTGGGGCATCTGGTCCCCGGCTGATAACCGATTTAATTATCATTATCGGCAACTCCTTCGATTCGCGGTATCGGCCTCCATTCGGATCGGTGCAATCTCCGTCAAAACAGTTTTAATTGCAGCCCGATAACACCGGAAAGCAAAGGTTACGCCGAGAAAAACACAAACAGTAAAGCGTAAACGCGCGATACCGTGAAACAAATGTACACACACGCAAGAAGGAAAAAAACAGCGCAAAAAATCGTAGCGCACAGTAGAAGAAATCGTGTTCGACGTTCCCGCATTAAAGTTCATCAAGATCTGTAAAATGAGCCTCGCCATGGCGACACACAATTACTCGTCGCGAAAAAAAGAGTGGCACATGATGGACCAATTTTTTTCGTTACAATTCTTTTTTTTTCGCGTTACCAACGTTCGGAAACGTGTGACGGACGCTGGGGAGAGAGGGGTGGGTGCAATCATGAAAATCAAATGAAAAGAAGAAAATAGCTGTGCGCCAGTTTATAAACGATGTTTATTTTTGCAATTCTGTTTCCATTTTTAATTTTCATTTACAACCACGCCAGCTGCGTCACTACGGTTCATGCAGTTTTTCGCGTTTCGTTTATTTTTTTCTCCCCGACTTTGATTGAAAAATCTTGCGCGTCTCTGCGTGTCTCTTTTTGTACGTGGGCGTGTAACACAAATGGCTGGTATATGCACGTACACATAAGTATTACATATACACTGTTCATTTGTCTCGCGTAATGTAATGTATATATCCAGGTAAAAACTAAATACTCGTACAAAACATAGATTAAATTCGTTAACAAGTTTCTTCCGGTAGGTAAGCGGTTCCTTCATTTTTTTTTCGGTTTTCTTCCTTTCTTTTCACATTGTTAGCATTTCGTGGGACTTCGTTAACAGGCACATCGTAAGACACTATTAATGTGCACATAATATACGTAGGGTGGACCGAGGTGAATAGGATCACGGGATGAAACGGATAAAAATAAGAATATTCGCCATATCTGTTACGTTGTTAGAGAAATGAGCATGCTGACCGTCCATATTCCTTCATACACCTTCTCTACACTTGATCCAATACATCTTCAATTATTTCAAACCGTTGTCTGCCACCCTATGCATTAAAATCGAAGCGAACACAACAAATTTGTGGCTAACCTAAAATACGTAGTTAAAATTTCACATCTGAAATGGCAAGCTAAACTTGGAAATTCAAATATGTTTATTATTATTAGTCCCTAATGTGTCTAAATTCAATGTTTAACGTACTTTAGATCATTATATTGAATTTTGTTCATTTATCGTATTCACTTTGAAATACTTCGAGATGAGACTATTCGGATCAGAAAAGTTAACTCTAAAGAATTAACCATACGCCAAGTTCCGGAAATTTATCGCATACCTTGTACAATCTTACAAAGAAGACTCAATTATTGAATAATTAAAAAAACCAATTTCACATTTGTCATTATCTATCAATAAAATGATACTATTTGAAAAACAACAAAAGTTAAAGACTAGACCAAAGAAGGACACTATTAAAAGAAGAATGAAGACTAATAGAACAGATGAATTAATAACATAATTACAGGATCATCCAGAGAATAATATTACATTTATTGCAATGAAAAATTTATTCTTCTACCATCAAAAGATTGGGTTCAATGCAATCTTTGCGAAGAGTGCTACTAGATATAGTCTCAAAAGGTATTATATTTGCGACAAACGTGTTAATTGATTTTATTATCACTAAATCGTACAACTTTCGATCGAACAAAAATTTTTTACAAAAACTTGAATTTCTCTTTAGATCCCCGAATGATCTGCAAAAAAGTAATAATTAAAACTTAAAATGAACATTTTTCGAATGAACACATTCAGCTGCGATATCAGTAACAAAAATTCGTAAAAGTTGAAAAATCTTGTTTATCGATATCGAAGCTGAATGTTTATTAATAAGAAATTCATGAAAAAGGTGTTGATTGTAAGTTTTAGGCATTAGTGTGTTGCTGTTAAATTTGAATTGATCCGATTCGCCTCGGTTTACCTTATACGTATTCGCTATACATATACATCATATATATATTTATATATACACACTTACATTTTTCCATACTTTCAGCGATAGATATGACATCGGATATATGTATCGTTTCGTTATTTCCTAGGATTTATAAACTTAGTTTCCTCGTTTCCGTGTTGGACGTGCGTCCCATTCCCCGTCGCTCGTAGTCCCTCACCGAGTTTCCCTCATCGTCCTCCTCTGTCTCCAAACTGTTCCCAGTTTTCCCGTTTCTCAAGCACGCCCGTATAAACTCACTTCTTATTTATTGACTAGCGATAACAGTAATTGACTAATAAATACCGAGACGAAAATACGAGATTGGATTGCAATGGGGGCGGGGGAGGAGCTCTTACCACGAGTCGAGTTACCGTGAAAAGGGACACTATTATCCTAAGAACTTGAATAATTTTAGTATTCTTCTTTGTTTCATGATATTTTCTTTTCCGTTCTTTTTGTGAACGATCTTAAACTCGAACCGC